ATATTAAGTCTAGAGGTAATGAAGTGAAGGTATCCAATCAACACCGGAAAATTGCTCAAGTCACCGTGGAGGAGTTATCAGTTACGACAACTCTCAAGCTGTTGCAGAATTAACGCTGAACTGTTGGAATTGTAAAGAAAATGGCCACCGCTATCAAGATTGTTTGGTGGAAAGGAAAGTTTTCTGTTATGGTTGCGGTTTACCTAATACTTATAAACCAAAGTGTTTAAAATGTAATGTTTCAAAAAACGTAGCAGCGAAGGCACCGAAAGGTGCCCCAAAACAATTGAAAAACAAAAACAAAAATCATTAACTCTTAAGGCACCTTCTTCATACCGTTTATTGAAAAATATTAACGCCATAGATGGCAAAACTGTTAATTTTCAAAAAAATGAATTTATCCCTAAATCTAAAAGGAGATCATCAGAAAGAATGAAGAAGTATTGGAGGAGTTTGAAACAACTAAAATTTAAATTATTATCGTCAATAATTAGCAATCCTACCGATATTCGTCCTTACGCCCGTGTCACCGTTTTTGATGAACAAGTGGATGGTTTGTTAGATACTGGTGCGTCTATTAGCTGTGTCGGAAATGCCCTAGCTGAGCGAATTCTCCAAATGAACATTCCATTTAAAAAGATGTCATCAACTGTAAGAACTGCTGATGGTAAACAACAAAAGATAGTTGGTTCTTTAAAAACTCTCATCAAATTTAAAGGTATTGAGAACTCCATTGAGTTGTTCATTATTCCTTCCTTGTCACAATCATTATATTTGGGAATTGACTTTTGGAAATCCTTCAATCTTCTGCCTGATTTTAGTCTCTTTTCAATTAGCGACACAGAATTCAAAGAAAAGAATCAAGAAGCCAAATTTTGCAAACTGGATGCTGCGCAGAAAAGCTCCTTACAGGATGTAATCAAGTTATTTCCGTCATTTGCAAAAGAAGGACTAGGAAAGACTAAACTTATTGCCCATTCAATCGATGTTGGTAATTGCCGGCCAATCAAGCAACGTCATTATCCTGTCTCACCTGTGATCGAAAAGATGATATATGAAGAGTTAGATCGAATGTTGAATCTAGGAGTTATTGAAGAATCACTTAGTCCATGGAGCTCGCCCGTAGTTCTAGTTCGTAAACCTGGCAAAAATCGACTTTGTCTCGATAGTCGAAAAGTTAATATGGTGACTGTTAAAGATGCTTATCCTCTCCCTTTCATTGACGGTATCTTAAGCAGACTACCAAAAGCTAAGTTTATTACGGGATTAGATCTAAAAGATGCTTTTTGGCAGATTTCCCTAGATGCGGAATCTAAGGAAAAGACCGCCTTCACAGTGCCAGGTCGTCCGCTGTATCAATTTACGATTATGGCTTTTGGTTTATGCAACGCACCTCAAACGATGTCTAGTCTCATGGATAAAGTTATCCCGAATGAGTTGAAAACAGAAGTTTTCGTTTATCTCGATGATTTGCTGATAGTTTCGAACGAATTTGTTCATCATCTGGAGGTATTGAAATTAGTTGCAAAAAGATTTAGGGACGCTGGATTAACAATAAATGTAGAAAAGAGCAAGTTTTGTATGGAAGAAATCAAATATCTAGGCTATATAATTGGAAAAGGAGTGATAAGAACCGATCCTGAGAAAATTTCTTCAATACGAGACTTTCCAATTCCGAAATCCATAAAAGAGGTAAGACGATTTTTGGGAATGACTGGCTGGTATCGTAAGTTCATTGGAGATTACGCTATGATTTCGACACCGTTGACTGATCTTACAGGGACAAAACGAAAGTTCCTTTGGACATCAGAAGCACAGAAAGCATTCGATGTGCTGAAAACTAAGTTAAGTACTGCTCCTGTTCTTCACAGTCCTGATTTTTCTAAACCGTTTGCAATTCATTGTGACGCGAATAATACTGGGGTTGGCGGGGTGTTGATACAAATGAATGAAGAAGGCGACGAGTTACCAATAGCCTTTATGTCAAAAAAGTTAAATAAGGTTCAACGTAATTACACAGTCACTGAGCAAGAATGCTTAGCTGCGGTACTAAGCGTAAAAAAATGTAGGACGTACATTGAAGGTTATGAATTTACAATAATTACTGACCATGAAATGGTTGATGTCCCAAACTGAACTTTCTTCACGCTTAGTCAGATGGTCACTTAAATTACAAGCCTTTAATTTCAAAATTATTCATCGTAAAAGGTAAGCTTAACGTTGTACCTGATGCATTATCCAGAATAAACAATTATGGCATTGCGGAATTAGATCATGGAATATTTGTCGACTTGGAATCTCCTTATTTTGAATCAAACGAATATTTAAATTTGATCAAGGAATTTCAAGAAAACCTCTCGAGTTTCCCAGATATCAAAATAACGGAAGGCCGAATTTATAGGCGTAGCAACAGTATACACAATGACGCCTTGCATGACGAATTTTCCTGGAAGCTCTGGTTACCAAGAGAAATGACGAATGAAGCATTATGGCGTGCTCATGCAGATTGTTTGGCTGCGCACGCTGGAATGAATAAAACCTTGGAAAATTTGAGAAAATACTATTATTGGTCTGGTATGGTCATCAGTGTTCGTGACTTTATTAACTCTTGTGAAGCCTGTAAAGTTAACAAGCATCCTAACCAAATTCTCCGACCACCCATGGGTAAAATGGCAGACACAGACCGGTTTCTAGAAAGACTTTATGTCGATTTTGTTGGTCCTTATCCACGCTCTCGTAGGGGAAATATCGGAATACTGGTAGTATTGGATCAATTTTCCAAATTTCCTTTTATCAAACCTGTCAAGCGACTCAATACTGAGGTGGCATGTAAGTTTTTAGAAGAAGACGTAATCCATACCTTTGGAGTGCCGGAGACTGTTGTAACGGATAACGGAGCTCAATTCGTTGCAAAGAGATTCAGTTCATTCACCTCAAGCCAATGCATCGGAACGAGTCAACAAACCTTTAATAACAGCAATGAGGTCTTATGTGACTGCAGATCAGAAGAATTGGGATGAAGAACTGAGTGGTATAGCTTGTGCTTTGAGGTCGAGCATTCATTCTGCGACCGGTAAAGAACCGTATTATGTTGTATTTGGTCAACACATGGTTACCAACGGTAAAGCTTACTCCCTATCGCGGAAGCTTAAACTTCTGGATGATCATTCATTACGATTATCTCGTGAGGATTCAGTTCAGTTAACAAGTCGATTAACTAAACATCGAAGAGCAAAGCAATTTAACAGAAACGAAAAGAGCTACAACTTAAGATCCACGGTGGTGAATTTTGTTGAAGGCCAAGAAGTTAATCGAAGAAATTTTAAACAATCCAGCTTTGTTAAATGTTATAACGCTAAACTTGAACCGGTTTTTGTCAAAGCTCGGATACGAAAAAAAATTGGAAATTCCTGCTATGAGTTGGAAGATCTGCAGGGTAATGTTGTGGGAATTTATCATGCTAAAGATATTAAGCAGTGACGGTCGTCATCATTTTTCATTGTGAATCAGATTTGGACGATTGATTTCATCATTCCTCCAAGTCTGATCTTGTCTGGGGGGAAAATGTAGGAAAACAAGTAGGCGTTGGTTTTATTTTGGGAGAAAAGTTAATGACGTAAATTGCCGAAAACATTACAGAAATATTGGATTACGTTGCACGTGTGTAGATACGAGTGGCAGTAGTTTCAAAATTAGATTTATCAAGTTGTTAATTGTTTCCAAGATCTCGAA